AGCCCCCCCCGCAGCCGCCGCCGCCCCCCGGGCCGGGGGCGCGCGAGGGGCGGGCGGTGAGGGCCAGGGTGGTGCAGCAGGTCAGGGAGGGGCTGGGCTGAGGGGCTGCGGGGGATTGGGGGTCCTTGGGGGGTGCTGGGCTCTGATTTGGGGGGGCTGAGCCCTGATTTGGGGGACTCTGACCCCTGATTTGGGGGTTCTGAGCCCTGATTTGGGGGACTCTGGGTCCTTGAGAGGGTCCTGACCCCTGATTTGGGGATCCTGAGCCCTGATTTGGGGGCTCTGAGCCCTGATTTGGGGGGCTCTGGGTCCTTGAGAGGGTCCTGACCCCTGATTTGGGGGCTCTGAGCCCTGATTTGGGGGTTCTGAGCCCTGATTTGGGGGGCTCTGAGCCCTGATTTGGGGGTCCTGAGCCCTGATTTGGGGGGCTCTGGGTCCTTGAGGGGGTCCTGAGCCCTGATTTGGGGGGCTCTGGGTCCTTGAGGGGGTCCTGAGCCCTGATTTGGGGGGCTCTGAGCACTTTGGGGTGTCCTGACCCTTGATATTGAGGGGTTCTGAGCCCTCTGTGGGGTTCTGACCCTTGATTTGGGGGGTTCTGAGCACTTTGGAGGGGTCCTGAACCCTGATTTGGGGGACTCTGGGTCATTGAGGGGGTCCTGACCACTGCCTGGGGGGGCTCCAAGTCCTTGGGGGATCATGACGGGTTGTGAGCCTTGATTTGGGGGGCGCGGGATCATTGAGGGGGTCCTGAACCGTAATTTGGGGGACTCTGGGTCATTGAGGGGGTCCTGAGCCCTAATTTGGGGGTTCTGAGCCCTGATTTGGGGGGCCTGAGCCATGATTTGGACCCCTGATTTAGGGGTCCTGAGCCCTGATTTTGGGGGCTCTGAGCCCTGATTTGGGGGCTCTGAGCCCTGATTTGGGGGCTCTGAGCCCTGATTTGGGGGCTCTGAGCCCTGATTTGGGGGCCCTGAGCCCTGATCTGGGGGACTCTGGGTCCTTGAGAGGGTCCTGACCCCTGATTTGGGGGCTCTGAGCCCTGATTTGGGGGTTCTGAGCCCTGATTTGGGGGGCTCTGAGCCCTGATTTGGGGGTCCTGAGCCCTGATTTGGGGGGCTCTGGGTCCTTGAGGGGGTCCTGAGCCCTGATTTGGGGGGCTCTGGGTCCTTGAGGGGGTCCTGAGCCCTGATTTGGGGGGCTCTGAGCACTTTGGGGTGTCCTGACCCTTGATATTGAGGGGTTCTGAGCCCTCTGTGGGGTTCTGACCCTTGATTTGGGGGGTTCTGAGCACTTTGGAGGGGTCCTGAACCCTGATTTGGGGGACTCTGGGTCATTGAGGGGGTCCTGAGCCCTAATTTGGGGGTTCTGAGCCCTGATTTGGGGGTCCTGAGCCATGATTTGGGGGGGCTGAGCCCTGATTTGGGGGACTCTGAGCCCTGATTTGGGGGTTCTGAGCCCTGATTTGGGGGGCTCTGAGCCCTGATTTGGGGGTCCTGAGCCCTGATTTGGGGGGCTCTGGGTCCTTGAGGGGGTCCTGAGCCCTGATTTGGGGGGCTCTGAGCACTTTGGGGTGTCCTGACCCTTGATATTGAGGGGTTCTGAGCCCTCTGTGGGGTTCTGACCCTTGATTTGGGGGGTTCTGAGCACTTTGGAGGGGTCCTGAACCCTGATTTGGGGGACTCTGGGTCATTGAGGGGGTCCTGACCACTGCCTGGGGGGGCCCCAAGTCCTTGGGGGATCATGACCCCCTGATTGGGGGTGCTCCTAACCCCTGGTTTGGGGGGTGCTGAACTCTAATTTGGGGGGCTCTGGGTCCTTGAGGAGGTGCTGACCCCTGATTTTGGGGGCTCTGAGCGCTCCGTGGGGCCCTGACTCCTGATTTGGGGGGTCCTGACCCCTGATTTGGGGGGTCCTGACCCTTGATTTGGGGGGCTCTGGGTCCTTGTGGGGGCTGATGTCTGGTTTTGGGGGGCTCTGAGCCTCTGGAGGGGCTCTGACCCCTGGTAGGCGGGTCCATCATTTTGGGGTGTCCTGTTTCCACCCCCGTGATCCCCAGAGTTCCTCCCTCAGCCGTGTCCGTGCTCATTTTGGGACAAATAAACGATTTTTTTTTTTTCAACTATTGTCCCACAGCGTTTTGGGGGGAGTCGGGGGTGAAGTTCTGGTCATTTTTGGGACCCCTTCAAGGGGATTTTGGGGGTCCCTGCTGTGTCCCCATGGGCGGGATGAGCCCCCGACCCTGCAGTCCCCCCAAAGAAAACCCCAAATTTCCCCCCCTGGGACCCCCCAAACCCCCCCTTCATCCCACAGGACGCCGCCATTCCCACTGTCGCGTTCCCAGAACCCCCCTAAGCCACCGAAACCCTTCCGCACCCCCAAAATCCCCCCAAACCCATCAAAACCCCCCAAATTCCCGGTCGGGCCCATTCCGGACCTCGCGCCGTTTCCATGACGACAGAACGCCGGAAGTGGCTCAACCTCCAAACCCTTCCCCCTTCGTGCGGCCGTTTCCGGTCCGGCGCCAGAACGGGTCCGTCGCGCAGCAGTGACGCCAGAGCCGTTCCGGGGCCAGAGTCCGCGGCCATGGCGTCACCGGAGGCCGGCGGGAGCAGCTGCCGGGTCGGGACCCCCGGGACGGGCCGGGGGGTCGGGACCGGGGGGGCGGAGGGGCTCGGGGAGTGGGGGAAGGGCTGACGGAGGGGCTCGAGGGCTGGGGGAACGGAGGACCGGCGGTTTTGGGGGTGAAACGCTCTGGTTTGGGGAGATCTGGGGGTGCACATTCCCTCCCACGGCGTTTTTGGGGTGCAGGAGCCCTCGCGAGGGGGGGGCTGGGGGTTCAGAGCCGCGTGAGAGGCAGTTTGGGGGTGCAGGACCCCTTCAGCTGGGGAATTTGGGGGTTCACAGCCTCACCCGTGGCAGTTTTGGAGGTACAGGACCCATCCCGGGGGGGGGTTTGGGGGTTCGGGACCCCATGAGAAGCACTTTTAGGGGTGCAGCATCCCATGAAGGGGTGCAGGACCCCCTGGCAGGGCGGCTTTGGGGGTTCAGAGCCTCAGGAGCAGCTTTTGGGGGTGCACCATCCCACCCTCAGCGCTCTCCCTGGCAGCCCCGCGTGTTCGCAGCTCCTTTCCCTCCACTTTTGGGGCTCCACCTCCCTTTCCCCCCCCCATTTTCGACGTCCTGACACTTCCCCTCTCATTTTCACCCCTTTTTCCCCCCTTGCCCCCCAATTTCGGGCCGCGACCCCCCCTT